AATAGTTAAAATAGTATAAAAAGTTAATTTAGATCATTTTTTATTTAATATAAAAAAATTATAAAGATTGATTAAATTTGAATGATTTTTATTAGAAATAATTATTGATTTTTATATTAAGATACAAATCTTTTTGCACTGATCCATATTAATTAAATAAAGATTTATTAATAAAATTACAAAAAACTATTATATATAATATTTAAAATTATTAAATATATAAGATTAATTATCTAAATTAATAATATAAATATATCTAGTAATTATTTATATAACAATATGATAAATCTAATTAATTAAATATATGAATGATTATTTATATATCCAGAATGAAATTAATCTTTAAATAAAAGTAATACAAAAGTTAATTTATTATACAAATAGCATAAAATAAAGATCTAAACTAAAAGAAGATAATTTAATCAAAATTATTACAAAATATTTGTATTTTATAAATTATATAAACTTTTTAGCTAAAAAGTAATATTCAAATTTAATTTATAAATATGAAAGATTTATTCTATCATATTCATAAATTAAATTTTGAATTTACTTTTTAGATAAGAAGTTTATATAACTTATAAAATATGAAAATTTTGATAACTTTAAATATTATACATCATAATAATAAAAGTTATTCTTATAATAAATTTTATTATGTTATTAAAAATTTTAATAAGTTCAGATTAATAATTAAAATACTTAAACTAAAGATTATTTTTTAAAATTATATATTTTAACTTATAATTTTTTTGTAATAATTAATAAAAAACAACTGCTTAATATTTAAAAAATTTTAATTTCTGATTTTTTATTGCTTCAGTACAATTTCATTTTATAGTTAATACTATCTAATATGAATACAAAAATTTAGTATTGATAATAATAGATCAAACATAAATTTATAATATTTTAGCAAATTTGAGCACTAAAACTGAATAGTTTAAAAGATAATTTTAATTAATCTTTTTTGCAAAAGCAAATTACTAAAATAGTAAATAGTCAGCATCTTCTATTAAAGATTTCTATGATTTGTTTATTATTGTTATCATCTATATTTTTCTGAAAATAAAAATTAAATAATGATTTAGGCAATATACAGTAAAGTTCAGTTATCCAATAATAAAAATATGTATACTTTCACTTAACTGAAAAAATCATTTCTTTAAAACTGGAAATTTCGGATAAATGATCTTTACCGTGTCCATGTAAATTAAATCTAATAAAAAAATTCAAATACATAGTTATTTTTGCTAAATAAAAAGTAAAAATGCAACATAATTTACCTATTTATTTCTAATTAAGATTTTTCATTTTTCCTAGAAACTGTATGTTAATATTATTTGAAAAACATTTATCGTTACTTCATTATAGTAAAAACAATCTCGATATTGCTTCATTTAGACATGACATTATTCTTGATTGCAGCATTTAACGGTCTTAAATATCATTTGTTATTCATATTAAAGTAAACGGCTCTTAATTATATGTCACGCTAAAATAGTATCTAATCCAATCAATGTATGGAGCCGTTTACTGAGAATTAACGTTAATGATAAAAATTTAACATTTAAATCACTCAACAACATCCCACAATACGTAGGCTTTGTTTAGCATCCATATTGCCAGCACTTGGCGAACATCCACAAACTGACGTCCGAAGATGTCCGTAGGGACCGTTGACTACCACGCAGACAGATTATGATTCCTCAAATAATTAGCTCAATATAGTATATATAAAATTCAGATCGGAATTAAAGCTCAGCACCCAATCTCTCAAGAAAAATCATAACCGGGTTGTGAAACCATAATTCGAGACGAAAGTTTTGTTATGGAAGAGGGTTGTGTAGGCGCTTTTTCCTTTATGTATAGAAGATTCATTAATTAAGTTATAACAAAAATTAAATAGGTAGCTTTCTTTATTATACCGATATCAAGAGTCAATTGTAAAGACGATGTATTTTTGTTTATTCAATTCATAATACACAACATTATTGTTTATTAACATAACGATAACAGGAATCTCATTTGTCAATCGTCTGAGTACATTCTGTTTCGCGATACATGTACATGTATAAACTTGATCCCAATTTCTGAACGATACTTTAAATATGATTTTCTATATAGTAGTGGTGTTTTTCGTAATATTTTACTTGAAAAAATTAACAACTCAAAAAATTCCTCCGAATGGATTGATGCCGCTTCCCGAACCACCGGGAAAAATGCCGTTAATTGGTAGATTGCTTAAAAAGATTTGTTGTATCGATATATTCATCGGTTTTTTAACGATAACGTAAATTTCTTTAAATTTTAGGACATGCATTAGTGGCTGCTTATGAACTTCATCTAAAGTATGTTTCTATAAATAAGCATTATTTTTATTTATTTCTTTTTCTAATACTAATATATGTATTTAATAATAAAGATGCTTTGAATGGCAAAAAACGCTTGGCGATATCTTCATGCTACATGTTGGGAAGAGAACTGTAATCATTTTGAACAGCCAGAAACACGTTAGTGAACTACTTCAAAAAAGTATTTTTTTATTCAATTTTTCTTATTGGCGCTGAATCCAGGTTAAAAAGAATATACTTTGCTAATCAAAAAAATCGGAATAGGAGGTGTAAAGTATTCGTCTAGATCACATAGCTTTCTATTCTGGGAAACTTTTGGGCGTAAACATGATTACATCGCGGCACCATATAATAAATGGTTCAAGAAAATAATGCCATTAGGTAAATCACAAATTCATCATATCAATTATGAAAACGCTGACTCCTCAATTCTTTTTTCACTTAATAAAAAAGTACACGGATTATTTAGCCAACAAAAAATCGAAGATTACTTGGACTTTATCTACGAATGTCGTTACGAATTACTAAAAATCTTAGCTGAAGACTCATTGTCAGAAACCAATGGATTTTTTCCACGTGATCAATTTCATTATACGACACTCAATGTAATACTTAACATAGTCTTTGGCACAAGAACAAAAGGAATGACCGATCCATTATACAAAAAAAGTTGTCGAGTTGATTCGAAGATCTTTTGAGTTTTCAGGCACAAAAGCAAGAATTTATGACGTTTTCCCAATTATGCGAACTATTTTGAAGAATCGGTGGTTGCATAAACGTGCTAACGATACAGCAAGTGAATTTGAATCGGTGATGGGAATATTTCTGGAAAAAGTTAAGAATAGTGATTATGGTCGTGACGAGGATGGAAAAATGATGGGGGATTCTTGCTTAGCCAAAGATTTATTGAAACAAGTAGACAAAGGTGTTATTTCTGAACTGGAAGTTATTCATCTGGCAATAGATTTGTTGATTGCAGGAACTGTATGTTTATTTATTATTTTACTTTTACATATATTAGTATTTTGAGAAAATATTTTTCAATTAATTAGGAAACAACTGCTGCGACATTGACTGCTCTTATAGCTGCTGTATCTAATGATGCTGAAATTCAAGCTCGAGCACATGATGAGCTTGATCGTGTAGTAGGAAGTTCTCGTCTTCCTACATATAATGACTTGGCATCACTTCCATACATTCGTGCAATAACAAAAGAAGTTTTGCGATGGGCACCTCCGGTATTAAAACAAAAAGTCTACTTTAAACTTAATCAATTGCTTACTATCATTTTTATTATTGTTTAGCTGGTAATGGGAATTCCTCACGTTATTGAAGAAGACGATGAATACATGGGCTACCATATTCCTAAAAACAGTATAGTGGCAATGAATATGTACGCGTTAAATTGGAACCCGTCCCGATTTTCAAACCCCAGTAAATTTGATCCGGATCGGTATTTGGGCGTAAAAGAGAGCGCAGCTACATTAGCACAAGGAGTTTCTGAAAATCGTGATCAATTTTCTTTTGGAGCTGGGAGAAGGCTTTGTCTTGGCACTCGTTTGGTATATTATTTATTATATGTTCATTTCTAGAAAATTTACTTATTTTAAAAATTTAAAATTTGATTTTGTTTGAATTTTTTTCAATTAGGCCGAAGCAGAGCTTGAATTATTTTCTGCTTCTATTCTCTGGGCTTTTAGGATTGAGCGCCCTTCTACAGAATTGAAGCCTATTGATTTAACGAGCTTTGTACAGTTTGGAATTGCGCAATGGATTAAACCTTTTAACGTCCGTTTTATTCCTAGACATTCTTTTTAAGGACGTGCTATTTATTGTGTGATCTTTACTATGGATCAATTAATCTATTATATAATATTACGTGATAAATATTCCCATAAGAGAAAAACATGTGAAATATGTGTAAACAATAACTCACTTGACTGTACAGTCTTCTGGATTATCAGTCAACTGCTGTGGTCCACTGGATATTTTTGCATAATAATGAAATAATACATGTTAACAAAATTTAATATAATTATTGTGGCAGATTAAAATGAAATCGGATTAAAATGAAATTGGGATCTTTTTGAATCCTCTTTTAATGCCTCTGAAATCCATATATACTCTTCTATTAACAA